TATATATATATATATATATATATATTGGACAATTTCTTTCATTGGATGTTTAAACCGGAGTTTTTAAAGGGGGAAAGGAAAAGTAAGAAAGAAACATGTAAATCGCCAGTTCCTTCTGCAACAACAATACCACCAAAAGTTAGTTGGGAGAAGCTGGGGTCGGGGAAAGGCTGCGCGGCCACCTGGTTATACGTATATTTTATTCTATCGGGGGGAGGAGGGAGGGTGATCGGAATTATATCATATTATTATCCACCTCGATCTAGACCAGGCCAGACCACCACTATCTAGAAGCACTTTCTTCCTCCTCCTTCTCCTCCTCCTCCTCCTCCTACTCCTTCCCCTCCGTACCATGTCCCAGCCCTATCAGCAGTCCTAACATCCTCTCGAGCTCCTAGCCCGGATTCTCAGGATCGCTCTCCTCATCCCTCTCCAGCATCTGCGTCCTCTCCAGTATCTTCTCCAGCCGCAACTTGAGCTCCGGCAGCTTCGGCTCCTTGACTACGAGCGTCTCGTCGTCGAGGTCCTCGACAATATAACCGTGACCGGAATCCTTATCGATTTTGAGAATTATGGCTTTAATGGAGGGGTCGCATTCGATCAGGACCCCTACAGTATGGTGTTAATTAAAATTTTAGCCGCGACCGCGGGTTCACTTTACTTTACCTTTTACTGCTCTGGGCATCGGAGAGGGCGGTGGGTGAATAGGTATGATAACCGGCACCGTACTCGTAAGTTGTATGATACTCGAGATGGTTTCGGGGGTTCTGGTACCGTATTGTATTGTATTGTATTCTATTTGTGTTGGAGGTTGGGTGACGGTTTTTGAGGTCGTTGGGAGGGGGGGGGGGTGGTTGGTAGTGGGGGCGGTAGTCTAGGTGTTAGGTGCTACCGTACAGTACGAGTATACCGTATCATTTCGTAAAAGTCGGATTGGAGCTAAGAGAGACTAAAGCATCGGGAGTAAGCGAGGTGGCAAATTCAGCTACTAGAGTATAATTTTTGAGGTAGCACAGAGTAAGCAATATTCTATGAGAACTGAGTTTGAACAAAGCAGCCAGTACACCGAGTACACATCAATCCTTAATCACGGTAGTCAAATTCTATCTCCTCCGGCATTTCTCTCCCAGCTCCTATCTCATCTGCAATATCGGCATTCTCCACAGTCCTTCTTTCCTCCTCCGATTGCCATTCACCAACCTCAATTCCGGAAAGACCTTTGATATTGAGTTCGTGATCGTGGCTTCCATTGATGGGTAAAGCCATTCCGAGGACCCTAAATGCCTTGACCATTACATGATGTTTTTCCATACAGAACTATAATAGGTAAATACTTCAATCAGCCTATTTTTTATTATAAATAAATCATCTATATTATAGGATGTGGGGTAATTGTAACAATCAATTAAACTTCAAGTTATTGGAGAAGGCAGGAGAAGTTTATAACTTACCCGTTCCCATGCAGCTCCAACTGCATGTGTCATGATAATTCGCCGTTTTCTAACAGCAGAATCTGTAGAATCATCAAGAGCATTTAAAGCTTCTTGTCCCATAGTTTCCATTACCATATCTAGTTCATTTCTTATCATCTCCTTCGGTGGTTTATTCACTGATACATCTAGGACCTGAATAAGCCCGGTGCAGCCTGTTGGTATTAGGGAAGGGACAATATCGTAATCATTAAGTAGCTGTAGTACTTCAGGGGAGTGGTGAAAGCGAGCTGCATCAAGTGCAATCAGGGAAGGTTGTGGTTTTCCGCTGGGGAGGGATTGAAGCAGGGAAGGTCCATTGGTCCACATCTGTGGACCATGACCAGCTGGATGTAGTCCAGGAAGTAAAAGCTCCTGAATCCATCGTAGTGTTGTTGTAGTATTAGAATAACCCTTAGGATTAAACCAGACTTCAACTCGTGAATCGTACTGCTTCCTCTTGACTCCATAGTACCTGTCCTGACGGGAAGGATCATCGGTACCTTTAAAAATAATTAATGGCCGTACACGACTAATTCCATCAGCGAAAGCTGTTAGAACAAGCGTTGCCTGACGCTTGTCCCACCCACTTCGTAGTGACTTTGCCCATATTGTTTTTTCTCCTTTATGTGCATAGGTCTTTCCGCTTAGGTACTCAAAGGGAAGAGGAGTTTGATCCATATTGCCAATTCGAGCTAGATCATAGCGTCCAACATCATAGCAATAATCACCGATACGTACTTGAGAATTGCGCCTATTGAACTTCAACCAAGATTCAATTAGGCTTTTATAGTGCACAGGAACATGTTGTGCTTTATTCGTCATTGCTCTCAGTGAGATACCCCATCGGCTCAAGAAGTGCGCAAACCATCCCTCTGAGAACTTAAATTGTGAGGAATCAAGTTCAGGATATATTTCCTTGAATACCAATTTGCTTGCCAAACGGAACCAGGCTAAGCGTACAATTCCTCCTTCTGTCCTTCTCTTACCAAACCGCTTATACAATTCAGCTTCCATCTCCGGATAAGCACATATTCCAAGGGGCCTATATGAACGGCCCTGTACCGGAGTTTGTATAATAGTATTTTCTTTTCTCCGCCAGTCTGAAATTGTGCTTTCTGGAATCTAGATAGTTTTAAAATTATTGTAAGCATGTATTCGTTTTACAATTGCTGAGATCTGAATAGCAAATACGCAACTCCGATATTAGAATATTCAAAACCCTCTAGTATTAAGAACAGTAAAGCATAGTTTCAATTCGCATTTCAATACTTCAAGGACATAACTTGCTAGCTAGATTAAAAACTTACTTTATACCGGTCGGAAACTTCTTTTAAAGTTACAGATCGTAATGAATTACCACCTTTAATGGTATCTGGAACCCGTCCATATTTCCAGTAGCGTAATACATCAAGCTTTACCTCTCTTGGTCTTGTCTTGATTACTCGATTAACTGTTGGTCGAAATGAGGCATGCCTTCTATCTAGAGAGAGAGGCTTTCGTCCGGGTTTTGACTTGCGGCGGGCATTTTCGGCTGAACTGGTGACTTCTGCGATCGCACAAGATCGGGCTTCTTGTGTGCTTTGTAAATCAACCATGGACATAATATAGAGTATAGGAGATGTGAGGATGAGGTTGTGAGCAGTAAGGGTTATTTCATCTGAGTCTGGCATGCAATATGAAAAGCTTCATGATCAGTGGTGTTGAATTTTGCGGTGGCAACCTACGTAACCGACTCTTAATCAGCCGCACTATCCCTTAGCCTCGTCTTAGTGCCAATCCGACTTTTACGAAATGATACGGTAGTAGGTGCTAGGGGTGTGTGTATAATATGTGGGATTGGAATGCCTTTCATTACCGGTATATCGTGCTGGTTTGTGTTTTTAGGACGGTGAGGGGTATGGCTCCGTGCCACGGTGCCATACTGTACAGTTATCATACTTGTATTGCACTCGAGTACCGTACCGCCCGGGCATGGTTCGGTCAGCGGTCCTTGGTAGTGGGTAATAGACTGAGGAATTGGGCTTCGTATGATATTATCAGGCGTTGTATCATACGGGTGTGATAAAAAAGTTTGGTTGTTCTGTCATACTACGGTACCGGTATGGTAATTATGACACTGTAGACTATCGTATTGCTGTCAAATTGTTGAGTGGGGGTTTTAGGGCATGGGGTTTCATAGATAGATAGATATCGTAGATAACTAAATTTACTCGTATCATGGATAGATAGATGGAGTGAGTACAGTACTCGTATAATCCAATACCACCTCCAATCGCTCACAAAATTACCGTATCCTACTCTACAGCAAAACTACTGTACTCTACTGTACAGTAGACTGCAAGATCCAAACCTCACCAACCCACCCACCATACATCATCATAACCAACCCACAAGAACAACAACAACGAGCACCCAAATGACCGAAACCACGCGCCTAAGATCCACCATCTTCATCGGTTCCCCCCCCCCCCCTCCCTCCCTTCCTTCCTTCTCCTTCCTTCCCCCATACCAAACTAACTAACCAACACCAACCCAGGCGGCCTCGACCAATCCGTAACAGAACAAGTCCTCCAAAGCGCCTTCCTCCCGTTCGGCGACATCACCTCCGTGCAGCTCCCCCGCGATGACAGACACCCCACAACCGCGCACAGGGGATTCGGCTACGTGGAGTTCGACGCGGCGGCCGACGCGCTCGCCGCTATAGACAATATGGATCAGGCCATGCTGGCGGGGAGGGTGCTCAACGTTATGCGCGCGAAGCCGCAGAAGGAGGGGACTGTGCTTGGGAGCAAGGTTGCGGTTTGGGCTCAGGTGAGTTCTTTTTTTTTTTTTTGGTCTTTTCGGGGGGGTGAGGGGGGGAGGGCTGATGGGGATTGTATGATAGGAATCGTGGTTGGCGAAGCATGAGGTCAGTGAGGAGGATAGGGCTGCTGCTGAGAAGGCCAAGGCGGAAGCTATGGCAAAGGAAGGGGTTGATCCTATGCAGGGTCTTGAAGGGTTGGATGTCGCGGGACCTAGGCCGGAGTGATGGTGATGATGATTATATTAATACCCTTTCACTTAGATGTACGGCATGCGGAACTCTTGTGGGCAAGTGGCTATCCTGTACGATATGACATGGGCTTTTTTTTCTTTTTCTTTTTTTGCATCGGGAAGCTTTGTTTCTTTCCTTTCCACCACATTATCGAAGAAGGAAATGAAAAATTAAATATATCCCCACCCCAGCCAGAGGTAACCATAATGTCAAAACCGGAAAGTAAAACGAGAAAGGTTCCCCATGATATCGCGTTTCTCAATTTTCAATCCCAACTTGTATAACTTATTCACACTAGTTGTAATAACAATAGACCTTAATGCTGGTCGGGCCTGGAAGAACGGGAAAGCCTCAATTGCTTGTCGGTGTACAGCTTCCTTCCCATGGAAACTATTGCCACTGCGGTGGAGGGTTAAAGTTAGCATAAAGGCCCTCTTACTAGCTTCCATCCCTCATTCTTTTATTCATTCATCCTTCCTTCCCAGCCCCCACCTCCTTCCTTCCACAGGGTTAGGGTAATTGCATACTTCCGACACCAGCACTATCGCCCCGAAAGTATCTTAGCAGAGGCCCACAATCCAGCGGCGGTGGCGGTGGGGAGGGGGAGCGGAGCGGAGCGGAAAAGGGGGAGAATTTACGCCATGACGACTCCCAAGGGGATCAATTCCGGAGGAACCTTCTTCAACATCCTGATCCTCTGGGAAATGGTGTGCGCTGCGAACACCCGCCCCCTCACCCCACCTTCTTCTCAGTCACTGCTTACACCGTTTCGGGGGGGTATATGTGAGGAATGGCGTGAAATACCGCTTTGTTCTTGCTTCTGGTTTTGGGGAAACAAACTTGGTTAGCAATTGATCCCAGGGATGGGGTCGAAGGGCAGTGAATGAGAGGGGGAGGGGGGTGCAAAGAGAGGATATGCGACATACTGGCATAACCATCTCGAGCGAGTTTTTTTTTTTTTGATGTGAGCGAGTGAGTGAGCGGAGATTGGATTCTTGTTGGTTTGCTTGATGGCGATGGAGTGGGAAGGGTGGGATCAGATCGGATGAGACAATGGAGTTGGCGGGGGATTGGCAATAGTAACATGGCCTTGGGTTGCCCTCTTGGCCAAGGCCGGGTAACACTGTGGGTGATGTAACTTAAATTTAGTACGATGTCAACCCCCCCCTTTTTTTTTGCTAACGTGTCGTGGCAATGCCTTGAAAATTATCTGGTCATTATCGCAATAATTACCAAGATCACGAGCTCAATTACGGAGGATCAGGGTGCCGTGGGAACATAAAACACATATCTCTTCGACCGAATTGCCACAAGTATCTTGGTAACTTAGTCATTAATTACGGTAATCCAGCAAGAGCAAGACATCTATAGTAGCTCCTGCACTGGCACATCTTCACCCGTCCATCCAACAGAACGCTGCCACTGAACTCACAACATAGAGCAAAGATTAAAGCAAAAGCGCTAGATGATTAGCATTTCATGAATCTCCCATCGGAAAAATTTTAAGGCAGAAACCCACTCCACAGATCAATATAGAGCAAAAAAAAGGGAGAAAGGCCTAATCCTCCACTGGTTCTGTGTAATCCATATCAGGTTCATCCCTGATCTGTGGTTCCTGTACCTCGGACCAGCCAACACAGTCGTCAATGTAGCTCAATATTCCCTGGACGCTGTCCTCGTCCTGACTCTCGAGCTGCAGGAATTGAACCATTGAGAAGTCGTCAATTAGGCCAACGACACCTATCAATGCCATTCTCGGTCAGGGTAACTCTTGAAGGATCGGGCGTAAGTGGCAGGATTTGGGTGGGTCCACCAACATTCATTGAGCCTGTGAAACTTCGGATTCGTCTCCTTGTGCACATCACCGAGGATGATCCCCGGGTCCGGATCCAAAAACCTCTTGAGCTCCCTCTTGCTGAACTGCCCTTTGACCAAATCCATCTTACTCATTATATTGATATGCGGAATCTCCAACATGATCATAGCGCTCATGGCACTCAGGGTGCCAGCAAAGAACTTGGACTTGTCAATGACAAAGGTGGATTCGAGCAGATACGAAGCAGCGAGGGAAAATTGCAGGTGGCCCGTCAGGTGTTTCGCCAGGTTCGGGAGGATTGGTACGTGAGTGTAGAGTTCTATCTGACCGGGACAGTCGAAAATCACCAGCGTATCCTCACCGATGTCGTCGAGCGAGGAGTCCAGCCAGTCGAGATTTTCCATCAGGAACCTGAAAAGTTGGAAAGGGGCCAGTCAGCGGATGCCGCGAGTGATGTAAGTCAGGGGTGTGTGTGTGTGGCTTGAACAAACTCAAAGCAAGCCATCAAACCGCCGTTGGGGCCGAGTCCCATTTCCTCCATTGCATCCTCGAGCGTGATCAGATCCTTGATGTCGACCGCGGGCTCGTACTCGAACTCGGTAGCGGCAGGGTCAAGGTTTACATATAAACCTTCTCGTATCAGCTTCCCAGGAACCCAAGAGTGGTGCAGGAGGATGCCTACATGATCGCTTGGTGTTTGCGATATGAGAGATCAAAGCGGCGCAGAAAGTTGACTGTGACCCTCATCAGCGCGGAACATCCATCTGCCGAGAGATTCGGCACAGTACCTTGCCACAGCCTGCCGGCCCAACTACCAGGACACCGAATCTACTCATTGCGGTTGAGTTTAATGTTTCTGGAGGGGAGGTTTGGTTAGAGTGGGCAGTAACAATGGTGTTGTGAACATCCGAGGCTCAAGCTTACGTAGGGCGGTTGCTACCTGCCCCACATACCGGTACCGGTATCCGTAGGGTCTGGACCCGGTGACGTTTGGCATTAATTGCAGGAGAGCCACTTGGAATGCAGTGCAGTAAATTGTGGTGATCCGAAAAGTACAATCGTCTACGGTAGAGCAGCATATTTTCAAGGGGAAATAGTTCTTTAATTCTACGGTACCGTACCGGTACTCTACCACTACTCTGTATTTCTGAGTTATGGTACCTGATAAACGACAACTACCGCAAAAACTCGGAGAATTGGATAGGAGGCTAAAAAAGGCAGCAAGGAGTAGCTCCTCAGTACCGTACAGTACCCCCGGGGGAAATGAAAGATGGCAGCGAACCTTACCAAAGCAGGCAACTCCAACGACATAGCTCCCACGTGGTCCAAATTGTTCGAGTTTCCATGGGTACACTACTGTACTCGAGTACAGTCCCCGTGAATCCAAGCCAAGAACGGGTGCGTCTTTTGGAATAGCCCCCAGCGGATCCAGGAAGGGGGTATTTTACGGTAGTGGTTGGGGCTGCTTGGACCAAGGTGACCGTGGCGAAAAAACTTATTGATCAATTTTGTATATGCCTTCATGTGAACTTACTGCGAGTTCAAGATCGACGCTTGAAAGAGTCATCTAGTCTCGCAGTTGGAAATTTTGATATCAAAGGTTTGTGATATTTATCATACTACCGATATCCGGTGGCAGTGCGCCGATACTTGTGTATCATGCTCCTGGAGAAAGCAGCAACAACGATATCCTTTTAAGGGTCCGCTGGAGCTACCGTATTTCGAAAGGGGCACCCAATCTTGGCTGGAGGGCACGAGCATGGTACGGTGCGGTAGTTCTTTCGCAACGCCATCGGTATTGTTTCCGGGAACCCTTGCCATCCAGCGAATACGACAAGGCAGAATATGAGCCGAGGGCAAAAGGATTCTGAGCCAGTTACAGTACTCGAGCACCGGTAACCCCACATTGTCAGGATCGCAGGTAAACATTCTGTCAGCGTGAGTGGCCATCTACTGTATTTGTAGCCGGCGGTCTCTAAAATTCCCTGCAAGGAGCTGGCACAAACCGGTAGACAAACGATTGGCTTGACAAGTCGAGCACCGCGCTGAGTTGCCGAATACTCGGGGCGCCACTATACTGAGGCGCTAGCAGGAGAGAGTCCCTGCAGATGATACGAATATGATTGAATTGGGACTGGCGGCCGGAACTCCCGAAGCTCCTCCAGGTGAGGACTTCATTTCCCATATCATACATCCCTTCGTCTGTTCCTAGATTTCACGCATTTCGGTCGGAAAAGTCGGGGATTCTAGCACCAAGATTTATCGATAGATGGGGAAAGGCCATAAATCTTGACCATGACTACCGGTAGGCCAGCAATCCTTCGAAGGGTATCTGTTACGGTCTCAGGAGACCCTTGGGGGGGTTTTTTTTCCACTCATTCATTGCCCTGCACGAGTTAGTGACACTATCAATTTAAACGCTTGAGAGCGTACAGTATGAAGGGATATTTTCACAAGGAATCTGTGACATCTCCTGCTCGATTCCACATCCCGAGTGATAAATAATAGCAACGGGTACAGTACTAAAGCCACCGGAGTAGATATCCACTCCCTGGCCTCCAAAGGGGAGTCCTGCCCGCAGCGTAGCGAGGCTACTATGCGAAGTGGAAACACGGAATCGAGGGAAGGGTAGTCCTCTTGAGTCCCACCAAGGCCCACGTCCCGGGAATGGCCACCAGGGTGAGGTACCGTACCTGAACGAGCGCTCTATCGTACCACGACTGCAGGTGATGAACCGCCCTTCGCCCACAGAAATAGCTTGTCACTAGTCTAGCGGGAGTTGCGAAGGGAAAGAAAAATGAAAGAATGAAAGATCTACTCATAGGACTTGGTATGTCTTGATCCCGTTTCAGTTAGATATCCTAACGTAGGAGATCTTGGGTAGAAACAGGGGGCCGCAATTGACTGGTTGGTATGAACTGGCCCGTAGGGAACCGCTCCCTGAGGTTGAATTCTACTATATGGTTGGGAATGAGGTATGCTGGTCAATTCATCTACATCTACGGCTCGATACGTACCTCATGGTACTGTGCTCCGACGATAGGTGGGTAGGTGAGCGAGCCGTGGGTCGGCAGCCGGATGTGGAAGGTTACCTTAAGTAATTATTCTGTGATGTCAAAATTGTAACGAGGTTGCCCTGTTAGGAAGGTAAGCTGGCTTAAAATCGTAGCTTTTGCGAGTAGATATCATGGGCAAACCGGTAGAGGGGTATCGGCGGAATACAAGTATCACGCGTGATGCTAGAGTGAGGGTGCAGTACTTGTACGGGTGCTGGTACTTGCAGCTGCCGTCCCTAAGAAAACCCATGTTGTTGTTGATTTATTGCGCTCGTGCTGTGCTAGTACCGTACAGTACTGTACTCGTAAATTTATAATCATTGTTGAGCCAACTTATCGTCTGCAGAAGGCAACACATTTCCCGGTTTAGTAATCACCAGCAAGAGAGGAAGGAAGCATGTTGGTGGATTGGCGACAGCGCAAGATAAGCGTCTGTGCCACCGGTGACTACTGTAGAACATTTCCAACCGGGACGGGAGCTGCTGCACTAGTACCCCTACCCGGATGTGTTTTCAGTTCCGAGTGTTAAGAAATGCTCTAGCGTCGAGCTTCCTGCAGTCACCGTGCTCGCAGAAGGAACGTCTCGGGCGGCTAGCGTAAATGGTCACCCGGGCGAGGGTGCCCGTATGATACATGATCCTATACGTGCTCATACTGTCCGAGCCTTGTTATGAAGGAAGGAATTGCTATTGCATGAGCAAAAGGGCCAAATTTTGGCGGCATGCAATAGCAGATCTTGTTTTAAAACAAGGCTTCAACATTGCGGATATAGTATTTGTGTGCCCGGATTCTGGAAATCTTTGTCTCATAGATTGTCAAGGCCACTCTAGGCATGCAGCTAATGAAGAGCGCTTGTGGAAGTTGACGGAGCATCCTGGGTAATTTTAGCCAGTGTGATGTGTGAAGCCCTCTGGTCTTCTCTGACTATTATCATACTAACCGACGAACCCACGATAATTTATGTGATAGGGGCAAAAAACACACAGGGATAAGGGTGGATAAAAGTGAGGATTTTGTATTTCGCGGGCCGTTCTCCAACCCTAGTCATGGGATCGCACTCGAATAATATAGGAAAGCGGATCAGCAGGCGGATCCGGGTATCATCCCAGCACTGCACTCGCTCACCAGGAGAGGATGCAGGCTTGGGTGGGATGTGGCCGAGTATGAGGGTAGTCTTCTAGAAGAGATATTTGCCGGCCAACAGCACCCCCTCACATGACGATAATGCTTGGGCATCCTTGCTCTTCAAAGACCTTCACTCCAAAGTGGCCCGCTTTCAATAGACCACGGGATAAGCTAAGCAACAGACGAGAGCGGATTGCGCTCCGGGGGCTTTCCCCTACGGGACATACAAGTTAGAAAGGAACGGTTTAGCCTCGTCTCGTAATACTCGAGCACTCGTAGGAATAGGAATAGTTGAGAGTAGCGCCGCGTCGTCTAGAATCCCCCCCTTCGGATTAAGGGGGGGAAATACAGTGGAAGGACCCCCTTCAGCCCGCACCTGGGACGACGGACCTTACTAGGAGAGGCCACTCAAACGTCCTAGAAAGGTTCTCTATTACGGCATTCAGTAAGTGGTTGTGCGCTATATTGTGGTGAGTTGTATTTTATGAATGTTCCTGTGTGACCCATTGCCTACCTTGTGAGAAAGCCTAGGCCGCGGAAATGGAATTGCGTGGCGACTGCATAGAAAGGGGGGTTCGATTGTCCTGGTATTAGGAAGAGGGGGTACGGATGAAACCGATCGATATTCCGAGATACAGTGGTAACCTATGGTTGCCGATATTGAGGGCAGCTGCAGCGATGCCTAGGGTTTGCGGTAGTCCTACTCTCAACTACCTTATCATGCGGTACCAGTGCCGGGGTTATACCATCCAGACCGCCTTTAAGCCCCCAAACTTTGTCTTCCTTCCGCCTCACCCCGCGGCAGGGGGGGCGGAGGAATTACGTTATATAACATAGAACTCACCTCCGTCACCCCCCAGGTGTAAATGAAAGGATGAATTGAGAAAACAAGATCGACGAAAAGCCACAATGGGCACTCTATTGGCTCTGGCCATCTGCCTCGGGGCTGTCACTACTGCCTACGCTATCAGCTCTATCATCCACCTTCTGTACAACATCAGGGAGGTTCGGAAGTCCGGCCTACCATATATCATCCTACCATGGCACGAAATGAATCCCTTCCATGTATTAACCTGCGGCTTCAACCGTGAGCTTTGGCAGTACTTGCCTAAGTGGACGTACTTCAAGTTTTTCTGGCGTGACTGGTGCCACCATACAAAGTTTGAGCTCTTCAAGGAGTATGGGGATGTCATTTGCGCCGTGAGCCCCGGGGGGGTGACCATCTACGTGGGGAGTGTGGAGGTTGCGAGACAGATGTACGAGCGAAGGAACGACTTTCCGAAGGCTACCAAGGTTTATGGTGAGTTGTGGATTCTGCTCGTGCGGGGGGGAAGCAAGGGAACTGATTCGGGAGTTAGAATATGTTCGATTTTATGGGGATAACGTGTTGACGGTATGTGGAAATTTTCCATCTCCGGTAGGCTCCATTGTGCTAACCAGCATAAAATAGCTCGAAGGGGCGGAATGGCGCCGGCATAACAAGTACACTCGCCCTCCGTTCAGCGAAGCTGTGCACAAGGTTGTATGGGATGAGGGCATCAAACAGGCATACGCTGCCGTCAACGTCTGGAGTCGCGGAAATTCTGGTGTGATGGTTGGCCGGGATCTCCGCACAATTTCAATGAACGTGCTATCCCTCAGCAATTTCGGGGTAGCCCTATCTTTCGATTGTGGGAATGAGACGACAGAGCATTTTGGCCAGAAGAACATCCCCCCGGGACACAAGATGTCGTACGGAAACGCCGTGAACCATGTATTGGATAACATCATCCCCTTAGCCATAGCACCAAAGTGGCTCTTGAGAAATGGCCCGGAATCACTGAGAAAGATCGGCCGGTCGTATGATGAGTTAGGGATATATTTGAGGGAACTGACCCAGACTGGCGGGAGAGCTGCGACATCGGGCAGGAGGAATCTGCTTGGGTCACTAGCCAAGGCATCAGTCGGGGATGGGCGGGAGAAAGGGCCAGGGTTGGCCGACGCGGAGGTTATCGGGAACGCTTTTATATTCGCCGTGGCGGGATTAGAAACTACCACGGGGACATTACATTACGCCATCATACACCTGGCGCTGAACCTTGATGTGCAGGACTGGCTCCACAGAGATTTACAGGAAGCGCTGAAAGATGAAGACCAAGATCCCTCGATGTGGGAGTATGAAAAAGTTTATCCGAAAATGGCTAGCGTGCTTTGTGTGATAGTGAGTTTGTCGAGACCACGCTGGCTTGTTTAAAAAATAATACTGACCATGGAAAGCATGAGACTCTCCGCTTGTACGCACCTCACGCACATATCCCTAAGTGGACAGCCGATAGGTACCAGCCAGTAAATTGGAGAGGCAGGGAATGCCTCATGCCTCCAGGAGCGTCAGCCTATATAACCACAACAGCATTACATTATAATCCCTCTCTATGGGGGGACACAGTCAAAGGGTTCCATCCACAAAGGTGGGATCTCCGTTCATCCTCAGAAGGATGGGTGCGTACCGATCAGGAAACCGGGGTTAAAACTCCGATAACGCCACCAGAGACACCGCGGACGGAAACCCAAAGTGCCCCGTATTGTTACTTGAGAACGCCGGTGAAGGGAGCATTTGCCCCCTTCTCAGACGGCTGGAGAGCCTGTGTTGGGAAGAACTTTGCGTTGGTAGAAATGACTGCGATTTTGGCTGCACTATTCCGTGACAGTTCGGTTAGGATCAAGAGGCAGGAGGGCGAGACTCAGGAGATGGCGGATGATAGAGGAAGGTCTGCCATCAGTAACAGCGAAGGCTATCTGACAGTCATGATTAGGCATGACGTGGAGTTGGAGTGGGTTAGGCGATAGCCTTTTTTCATTTCATCCCCTTTTTCCTGATTTAAGAGTGAACACCCTGCCTCTAAACGTTAGCGGAGCTATTTGTAAATAAGAGGGGGGGGGGCGAACCACTCTTCACTAGAGGATTTTCAGGGCCTCGGTTTATCTTTTAGTTCAAGTCCAGCTCCTTAAAGGTGCCTACATAAATAGGATTTTCGAATAAGTGCGGGTTGGCCCTTTGTTACTCGAGTATCCTACTCCGCCCAATTTGTCCCACAGAGTGATCTTCAAGGGTGGGCTATTACAGGTATCCCCTGCAGTGTTGGCAGCCGGGTTTCCTTACAGTAGGCTAAAATTTAAAATACTGTAGTGTATCAGTTATTTTTGGACTACGTTGAGGAGGGTAATCGAGTGATATCAATAGGTGCATTCAGGTTAAGTTGCAAACCCTTTTTCCTTTAACGCGGAGAGCGAGCCTGTTACGGGAACAAAAAGTTCGAATAATTGGTGGCATTACGGGGCCGGCTTATCGTTTGTCATTGCTCATCAATGAGGTTGATTCTGCCAACAAAAAGGAACCCACTGGTCCGACTAGTTTATCTTTAGCGTCGTGTAGGGAAACCCCGCGCAGTCAGCGCTCCAGGGTGCAGCCGCCAGTGCGATAGGTTAAAATTCGGGCACCGAGTGATCGCCGGTGAAATATGTCAATTATAAGCCCTCCTATCATGATCCAATTTTTGCACACAAAAACATCTCCCATCCTTGATATTCAAAAGAAACAGAGTATTGCCGTGAATACATAGCGCGAGAATATCAGAAGGATAATGCCCGATCTCTCATTGTCACATGCTCTTTCACAATTTCAAGCACAATCTCTCCGGATGGAGCATAGACTATCCCCTCATCGGTGTAAGGTTGCTGCGTTTGGGCTGGTGGGGAATTCACGGTAGCTTGTAACGGGTTCGAGTCTCTATCCCGTAGGTGTAGGGGTACGGAAACGGGGTATTTGACCGTAAAGTCCCCAATGGTCTCGACTCGACGTGAAATTTCCACCTCCTCTTCATCAACATCCATGCTTCCCCGTATGGTGGTGTTTTCGAAGAAAACCTCAACTGAAGGTGAATTGATGCCCGGGGCACCTTCGCTGACTCCTTTGTCCTCCTTGGCTAGCGCCTTCCTCTGTCTACTCGTTAATACCATGAACCAAGTTACAATAAAGCAGGGCGGAGAATCCCAATCCATCCAAGCAGAAAGAAGTAACATACGTTTGCACTCGAACGCCTGGACATTCCATGAATCTCTACACCTTTCCGCTTTGTGCGGAGGTACCTCTTTCGTTCTCTTCGGTCACGTGCCCATTCTGCTGTTTGCCGCTTTCTACCGCCGCCTTCCCCACCTCCCACAAAATCCCTCTCCCTCGTAGCCGGGAAAGCAATGCTGTTTGGTGGCCCTACTGTGTACCTCCCAAGCTCATGCTTAATGGACTTCTTGGTTGGCGCAATTCCCCTCTCGAGTAGGCTGGAGGTTACAAGCTTCCGAGCTCCTAAACGACGAAGTCGCGCTTTGCTCCGCTTGATATAAGTTCGCTCGGCACGATCAGCAGGTGCGGCATCCTCGAGGCCTCGCATCTGATGGTCGATTTGCGCAGCGGATAGACAGGGCTGAGGTATGAAATCGTGGGCGTACTCACATCCATCGCCATCTGGACATTGTCCAACTTTCAGGGATGGACATGGAATACCAAAGGATGGAACTTGTTGCTCCATGGTTAGCCGTCGACTCAATGGCCTCAAGCGTAGTGGTAGGCGATCTTGCTCAGTGAGCAAACAACCGATAACGGTGAGGGGTTGAGGGGGTTAGCTAATCACCTGTCCTGTGATTGGGTTTGGAGCCAGGTCGTAAGTTGCAACTTAGCTTTGCTTGAGTTCCCGAGCCAAGAACTTGCACCCGTTTGTCCTCTCTATCCAGTACTTGGCGCGGAGACCGGAACAGAGTCTTGGATGGGGCAGGATATCATAATACTGGTAAGTTACAGTACAGTCCAGTACGTACAGCACTCGAGTGGATTGTGTTCCAGTGCTCGAGTATGGTAGGTGGGCAGAAAAGGACGGGGAACACGTGGTGGTAAAGTACTCGCGGAGGTTTTGTTGATCGATCGATAATCTTCATGGGTAGAAACTCGGGGTTAGACACCCAAACCAGCCACATCGGTGTCTATTTTACCCCGGGGAAGCTGGTTGGGGATTCGGAAGGGCTCCTCGGGCTGGTACGATAGGAGGTTCCTATCGAGCTGATCCGAGCTGAGCCCAATTCCATAATTGTTACCTCGCTATTGGTATGAAAATATGCCGATTGTGGATACCCGGGTTGTTCGTGTCTACCGGGCCCCTTTTTTTCTCTCCTTAACAGTCTGCTTAACTTATCGTACTCTTAGAATTCTATAAATAAGCCGCACTTTGGAATAGGCCGCAACCACCCAAAATCATTCTCACTCGAGAATGATCTCTAGATAATCCGTTGCTGCTCGACTCAACTTTTGAATAAGCCGCACCGCTTCTTTATGGAATTATAGTACTGTCCGGGTACAGTCATGTAAAAAAATTTTATTGTGCAATGAACTTTTCTTCAACCACCACTGCCAGTGATAGCTCCTTCACATCAGCTATGCTTGAAGCAGAAATGCGATCGCGATAAACAGAACCTGGTAATTTCTATCCTCCATCATTATCATCCAGACTGGAGCTACCAGCAAATAGTAGATAAGACAGGTTGCTCCAAATTGTAGGTTTGCAACGATGTTAAACGAGCAAAGGAGCATGGATCCTTGAATGTCGGAGGTGCATCTTGTTCTGGATACCTACCTATACCATAGTATGCACAGTCACAGATAGAGCAGCTTATCGAAGGAAACCTGTGAATGCTACTGCAAGAGCTAGCCACCCAATACCCAGTCAGCCATATGACAGTTAAAAGAGTTGCTGATATGGCTGATGATCTATTCATCTTTCTTCAAACATGGAAAAACCCTGGTTTTAGCCAACTTCAGCTCCAAAGAGGCTCCTGTTTACACAATCTTATTCTCAGATGGAGAAAGAATGGTGGAAGCAAGTGATTTTTTTCATAATGAAACAACATATGTCTTTAACCTGTACCTGGTAAGGTATTATGTTTGGATCTGGCAGAGTGAGTTACTTCAACTGATTCTTTCAACAAAACTACTCTGACCCATATTTCAATCCAGTCATACCTCTATTTTAGTATGGGCTACAGTTGCATATAGCTTCAAGTCTTCACTTGTTTAAGTCAGATGAAGGATTGAGGAGAAATACTGCTGTTTTAAGGACCACCTTAGTCTAGAGGCCCATCAATTTGGTGAAGAAATACATAGTTCTCAGGCTTACCTCATTCCTTCTTGCAAGGCAGTAGCCTAACTTGAACTCAATTATATTTTACTGTATAGTGTACAGGTTATTAGTAATAATACTAGCTAGTATAAGGAAGGCAAAAATTAGGTACATGAGAAGCAAGCAGGATATTGGATTGTTCCTTGGCCCTCATAGTCATCTGATTTAAATATCATTGAAAATGTATGGAAAATTCGGAAGGAAAGACTTCAGAAGTGGTTTTCTGGAACAGGGATTGTGGGGAGAACTTTCAATAGGACATATATGGAGGAGGACTTGGAACTTTAGACTACTTGTGCTGAGGAATAGGATGTTATTGAGCAAGACAAGATTGACAGTTTACTTAGAACAATGCCCTAGTGCATTGAGGCTGTAATTCAGGCTAAAGGAGGATATACAAAGTGGTGAATTGAGAAGTATTCCAGTCTGGTCCCTCAGTTAGGGAGTTCTAAGACTTTTGTTACACAGCTAGACATAATGTCTTGTAATCCACTTATCTGAATACCGGCAATCAAAAGGGGTGTTGTTGGCAAGGGGGGGGGGGGAACTTGAAATTTTGTATTACTGGTACCGAAATACCCTTACACCCGAGTACTCGTACTCGTGCACCTTGTATACAAATTTTCTCCAGAATCAAACCACCCGAGTTCGATTCAAAAAAGGACAAATGTAATACGCTGTGCTATCAAGAATATCTCCTACTCTTCTGAGTTTCCTCTTCCTTCTATTGGACGTCAATTGAGGTTTCCAGGTTTCTGTGTCTTGGTGTGTTTTTATTTGATTCACTTCCTCATCTGACCCGCTTCCCGTTCCAATCCAAGTACGCTGCCCCCTGTTTCTATGATATTCGGGGGGTTTTTCAATTTAGCTACACTCTACTTGTATTAGGAGAGAGATATGGCACAAGGTTAAGCTTAGACTGCTCGAGTGTGGGTCTTCTGCCTGGGGCTGTCCTCGGGTACTGGTACGGTGCTCGTAGTGGTGAAGTTTTTTTTTAAAGAGGACTGCTGTTGCGGCAGCTCTCTTCAAAAAAAACGCCCCGACACTGTGAGAATGTGGGCTGGGGGGAGTGTCGGATGATGCCCACGACTTGTTTTCTCCGGTATAACAAATTACATAATATTTCTTGCCACTTCCGTGCTGCTCGAGTACATTCCTACCGTATTCGTTTGCTGATCACTACTAGAATGAGGTGTCCGGATTCAGCTCAGCCGCGCGAGTGTGGGACCTTTTTTATGCATGCTCATTGGGGGAGTCATGACCCAAACTTTGGAACTCGGGGATCAGGAACCTCCTCCTTTTCTCCGCGGCCGCCGGTCAATGGCTATGTATCCTGGGATGCATATATCTTACATAAATAATTTAGCTCTTGTCTAGTCATTACCCTGTCGCAACTGTGCCTCACAAGGGCCTGCGGGGCGGAATTGGCCATCCGGGATTGCTATCGTCGACAACCCTGTTTACTGTGACGAGCAGCGGATTCTGAAAGTGGGATTTCCCAGACCAGCTGAGAACTCCCTGTGATGATTACTATTGCTAATCGCAAAGTGGGTTAGGGTTGGATACTGCTGTTTATCCCACCAAAAAAGGTCGGGATGATATCTCTCCGTTTGGCTGGCTGGACGTTTGGGGCCCGCTATCTCTCTGGCTCTAATACCGGACCTCTGAGATGGGACATGAGCCCACAACCTGCGACCTATTGCTTTGGTGACGACCAGAAGGATTCAGAATTCTTTGCGGAACCCCCTCACCGGCGAATTTTTTCCCAAGCCGTCTCCGGGAGTGGGGATCCCCAACTACGAGCACTGTATCCCACGGCCCAGGACCCCCAAACCGCCCCGCTGGTAAAAAGAAAAGGGAAGAAAAAACAAACGATTATATTATATTGGTCATTCAGTGAGGGGCATGGATTGAGATTGCTGGATTGGCGCCGAAGTTCTGGGAAACCTTAGGGTTTGATATTGCTATGAGAGCGAGAAGGTGAGAATCTTTTGCAGGGGCTACGAGTAGAATTCTGTTGTGACGACTGCATCCTATTGGAAGTGAAGAGAGGAAACAGCTCGCATTTCCTTAACTTATCTATTACAGTGCCCGGAAACGGGATCGGTAGTCTGACAGGTAACTCCCGAAAGCTTTCTCATATTATTTTTATGCGTTGGGAGCCTCACATCTGCCCTCAAATGCCCCGAGTGCTCGTGGCCGGGGCCCTTTTGCCTACCTCCCGTTGAGGTCCGCGGCCATCACACTCGTTATGAGTCCGGCGCACGGCAGCTGGACGGAGCATTGCCCGCTGCAAATCATTACCACCCCCGGAGCGCGGGGAAACGGCTCCGCAATAGGCTTGAAATCTCTCTCCCTTGGCGTGGGAAGGCACCGGTAGGGGCCGAATGGGGTCCCTCGGGATGGCCCAGGAACTTGGCAACAATACCGGAATAGCTGGGGAAATTCGCCTGCCGCTAGTAATGTCGGAATAAGAGTTTTCTTTGTAATTTGTCTCAAATTCACTACCAAACGCTTTTGCTTAGCCTTTACGAGCGAAGCCAGGACTATTCTGGACCGCATTGAATGTTTTACTTCAGCTCCTTCTTTATTTCAACACGGCACAGTCGTGTCCAGAGAGTTTTCACACCCCTGGGCGCCAGTATGGTCTAGTAACAATTCCATCATGGTCTCATTACCGGTCTGCCGAATGGTTGGTAAATAGGGTGGGAATAATTACACATGGGGATTGTGATAGCTCAGGTAAACTGCTATCTAAAAAGACAAGAAAAATGGACCACTAGCATACTTTTGAGAGTCAGGTATAAACCTGCTAGTATCAGAAATTACTACTTTCTATATCAAGAGCTCAAGAATTCGGATAACACGAATACAACAAATGAATTTAGTATTTGGACCAAGTATTTACCAATTACCAATTACCCCCGCGAGCGCATCAACGACTCATTCCCCTATCTTTTTATCCAAGATATTTTACTCTCTAAAAAGCATTTTCTTCTTTTATTCCCAAGATACTCGAGTATCTAGGAGCTGTTTGGCACGACTACAAACCATGGTTGACAAAATGACCAATGAGGAAGCTTGAATCTTGTAGTTTTAGGGCCTGCCATTGGTCAGTTTGCCAAACTGCCCTTAGCGCATCGGTGATCATGCTCTAGGTGCACGAAAACTTTACAGACACAACTGGACCACTCGACAGAACGCACATGTGGCGGGAGTCAGGCCACGATTTTGGCTTTCCATGAAATCCAAAATTTATAAAAGAAACTGATCGCCACCTCCAACTGTTTCCCTCCACTGACCCATTCTTCCTTAAACCTAACGAAGGTACTCAGCACGAAAGAAAGAAAGAGCCTCATCCTGAGATTCGCTGCTTCATGCCTGCTCTCAAGACTATTACTCCAATCCATCCCGAGCCCACCTGCTCTGCTCTAGCAATTTGCAAAGATAAGGAGTCCTGCACCTGCGGAAACTCTTACGATGATCCTGTCACAGGAAGGTGGATCAGCGGCGCGGAGGCACTGACGATCCGCCAGAAAGCCAACTTTGATGGGAAATCAAACAAAAATCAAGGTGCGTTATTGGAGCTTCCGCCATTGAAGATACCCCGCCTGTGCTCGTAATTTAACGACGTTTGTGAATACTGCTGCTACTGCATACCACAAAGTTCAGTTTATTCGCTCAGATCTTAGTATCACGGAATGCCCCCCGTGTTCACGAACGTCGTTCAGTTGCGGGTACATCATACATGTCCGTGTGCCCCGGCTGAACCATAACAGAGGAGGGGTAGTTGAGGGGGGGAAGGTTCCGAGGCCGTTGGGGAGGGAAGATCTTTCAGCGACCCTTCACCCTTTTTTTTCATACTCCCTTAGGCTCGTTTCTCGCGATTCTTTGTCCGGAAGAGAGGCTTGTTGGTAATTCATGAAAAATCACCCCTTGCAATATTTGCGTTATCCTTATTGGGATAGCGGGGCACTCGCCAGTGTTAGCCAGAGACGCTTGATCCTATCTACAGTTCAAATTGAATGCAGGGAAGAGGTGTAGTTCCATTGACACTTTCACTCTCAGCTAATTGCTATAGTTGGAGTACCATACTGACCGGAAGAGCTACTCGGTTGAGGATTATGTCGATTCCCCGAGACCGTCAGCACCTTCCACTCATTCCTCTCCCTGATCGGCCTCCGGCACTTACGGAATCCCTCATGCTAACCTCAGGAACTACTATAGAGGAAACTGTAGTATGATACTATACATAGGCTCTAAAGAGCAGGTATTCGAAGACAATCCAAAAGGATCCCTCTGAGGCGTAGTCAAAACAACAATGCGGTCCCCTGGATGGAGTTCGGCTCCCACCCCACCATTGGAAGAGTGTTTAAAACCTCGCTCTCCCCGTACAAGTGCTATGTTCATATCCTACCGTTAGACCAACAGTGGAACAATGACATCCGCCCAAAGAGAGAGCCCCCAATTCACGGAATTATCGATCTCATTGCCCCCCCCCTAGTAGCTCACCAGAGTCGAATTCCGAGAAGTAGGGAGTGGAATTGAGCTAATTTCTGATCGTTAAACATTCCTCCCTCCCCTCCGCAATCCCATCCCCGCAATCGCATGCAGGACGGGAAGGATAATGTTATAATATCACAAAACTTTTGTTGCCCTGTACTGCAAGCATGATAGGAAAAAAGAAAGAAAGTTTTTTTCTTTTCTTTCTTTCTTCTCGTTATGATACCACCAGCGGCTATTGATAAATTTAAGTTAGTCGTAACCTGACCTAACTGGTCAGCTACTGTGGGGGACTTCTGCGGTAAGGTGATTACTAGTAGAGGAGGGGGTGGCAGGGGACCTCTCGTTGTTGAAAGGAGCTTAACTTATGGGGAAAGAACGACTTGATACACGTGCTCGACAGCCGCTGTGGGTCTCCTCGCATCGGTAGACTATCGCAGTAACTGGAGAAGTCTCTGGCTTGCTATTATTATAGATAGTACTTGTATGTTGAGATTAGGGTTTTCTTTGTAATCTATCTCGAATTGCAATAAAACCCCTTCGCTTAACCCCGTAGCCAAAACCGGGCCTATGATATTCTGGACCGCATTATATTGGTTGTTTTATCATACAAACGCACGGGGGGGGGGGTATTTCCTCCCAAGACAGGGAATGTTTTGCGGGTCAACTTAATTAACTGTTCGGTAACTCCCCTACCTATACTTGTACAAGTGCCAGGGGAGATGTTTTCGTACAAGACAGGGATTATTTTGCTGGTTAACCTAAATTAACTGTGCGAAAACATTATTCCTAGCATTTGTACTTGTATGGTGCCGGCACCTTAGAATCTACTCTCAGTCTTAAGCCAGGTACAGAACGCTAGTCCCAATATAGCAACAAATCTTACCTAATTAGGAACTATCTTGGCTAAATATTCAGAAAAACTTTGAAGCGCCCTACAGCACCAGCCAAAGGAGTAAAAGGAAAATCGCTCTGTATATAGGTTCTAATAGTCTATTAGAAAACTCTACAGAAGGAACCCTGAAAGTTCCATTTGTAGGTGTTGCTGCTTGCAGCAGATTAAAATGTCCGTCATTGTTTGGTAGTATCGGGGGCGGGTTCTAAGGTGCCGGCACCATACAGTACTTCAACCTGGTGCTTGCCCTTTAACTGGTCACGGTACCAGTAATATCATACCGCACTAATACCGTACGAGTAATCTAGGGAATGCTGTGACCACTCACGTGCCTGACACTGCCCCACCAGCAAAATCCACCTGCCCCAACAGCCATTCTCTCCTTGCGGCTCAAAATTATTTATCCAAACTCCCACGAGAGCTACCACCACCAAGGCAGAACCTCCCCACAACTACCACCACCAACAAGTGCCCAATTTGCAAACACCATGGCACCCCCACAAACAAGCCAACAGACAGGCACCCCGCTATCCCCGGCGGAGCTCTCGTACCTGCACACCTCTCTCACGCTGACCCCACCCATCCGTCCGGACTCCCGCACACCGACACAATTCCGCCCACTAATCGCCGAATCCGACATCCTCCCGTCGACCAATGGCTCTGCGCGCATGATCTGGGGTGACGGTGGAGAGTGTGTAGTTGGCGTGAAGGCCGAGGTGGAGAAGAACTCGGCTTCAACCGGGGGGGCGAGGGATTGGATCGAGATCAGCGTGGAGGTATCCGGTCAGCGCGACGACGACGCCTTCTTAGGCATGACAGTGGCGGAGAGTCTGCTCGTCCCTGGGAGTGGGGTTTTGGAGAGGTTGGTTCTAGGTGAGAGGTTTCATTGGAAGGTTTTTGTTGATGTTTGTTTTTCTCCCTTCTCCTTCTTCTTCCCGCTTAGTTTGTTCCTGCGATAGGATATGCTGCTGATTCGAGGGCCGGGAGGGGAGGAATAGATATTGCTATTGACGCCCCCACTATCACATCCCGCTACTCTGCTCACGCTCACAACGTACCTTGCCCTTCGTAACACCTTCCTCCCGAGATTGGTGTCTGAGGTCGCAGAGGACCCGGTCTTCGACGACGACTGGGATAACGCTCTCGCCTTGTACCCCATCGGTAGAATCCCCCCGCCGATAACCCTGCTGGTGGTCAGTGTCGGTGAGAACATATTCTTTGATCCCACGAGGGAAGAATTGGCCGTTGGGGATGTGGCTCTCGCCGTCTCGATCTGTGGAAAGAAGGTCGTTGGCGTGAGGACCCTGGAAGGAGGCAGTGGAGGCGTTGGGAGGGAGGTTATTAAGCGGGTCATTAAAGAGAGTCACGAAGTCGCGGAGGAGGTATTCGGCAGCCTAAATAGCGTCGGCGAAGGGGACTAATACTAGTGCTCGAATCGCATGACGGCTTCCTCCAGTTAGCGGCCTAGAGGAGGAAGACAACGTTGGATGCCAATAGTATCAAGGGCTAAAAATAAAAATAAAGAAAATAGCACCTCACCCTCACTACCGCCATCATTGCTATTCGGTAATAAGCACAGATGAAACCGCATATCCCTCTTCTACGATACTCGGCTGTAATTCCCATTACGAGGGGTGATTGATTCCCTGATACTCGATGCAATACTCCGATAGCGAAATACACGCAATTTGAGAGTGAAACACCAAGTACCCGGTCAAGTATACCACTTTATCACCCCCATAGCTGCCCTGCTTAAACAGCTTCCGTAGCGCTCTGGGACGGTATGCGTGTTCCTCTATCAGTGCATGCATAGCGCACCAGTCCCTACAATTATCCCGCAGCTCCCGTGGGTACCGATTGCACAGTAGCACTCGCACCGATACAAGTAGTACGAAAGTTCCAGGATAATCCATATACCAACTCAAAGATCAATGCCAGTCCTTGGTCAACTCTCCTGGCCCCAAGGCCATAACGTAACGGAGCAAGGGCTGGCGAGTAGTCTCAAGCTTCGCAGCAGGGCAAACAATAGCACTTTTAAAACCGGGATTCCCAAGGAATGTATTTTATTTGATATCGCTTTTCCACGTTTATCCACCAAACAAGACGACGATAGTTTTTTGTTTTTTTTTAGAATAACTAGATTGGAAAACTAAACCAAACACCTGGAAATTCCATCTCGCCCACCAATTTCCTTAAAGGTTCGTAAGAAAAGAGGGGGGGAAGGGGTGGTGAATGCAGAATCCATTTCTCTAAGCAGCACCGCAATCGGAGATAGTGATGGTGCCAGAAGTGCGGCCGCTACTGTCGAGAGACTTGGCCTCCATCTGCCTCACGATTGCCTTGCTAGCCTCGTCGGCAACTTCACCAAAGACGACATGCTTGTTGTCAAGGTGAGAAGTTTCGACGAACTACCCACGGGTTATTGTTAGTCAACTTCAAAGAAATGGGAATTGGCCGTACTAACAGTTATGAAGAACTGGGATCCTAAAACCCAAGTTAGCACCGTCACCCACAAGCAAGAAAGCATGAGCTGAAACAAACCATTGGTGTTCTTTCCGGCGTTTGCCATGGAGAGAAGATACGGCTTATCATGCTTCTTGTCGAAGTTTTCGTCCTCGAACTTATCACCATAAATAGACTTCCCGCCAGTTCCCTATTTTGAAAAAGTCTTTCAGCTTTCCATCTCATACCTATCACTTAAAGGGCGTTGAGGTAAATTACATTGCCACGGGTGAAGTCACCACCCTGAGCCATAAACCTGCTAATGACCCTATGGAACTTGGAACCCTTGTAGCCGGATCCCACCTCGCGAGTGCAAAGAGTTCTGAAGTTCTCTGCCGTTCTAGGGACAACACTATCGTAGAGAATGAAGTTAATACGACCCCATTGCTCAGCTGCAATAGAGGCGTTAAGTCAGCAAAAGATCAGTCTACTTGGCAAGATAAGATGAAAAGGCGAAACGAGACGGCCATCTCATATAGAAAAATATAATGAAGGATGAGGGATGCAACGAGGCGGAACGATGACGGATGTTTTTGAAAGAATGAGATGTCAAACTTACTAGTGCCGGTGGGGGAAGTGTAGGAAATATCGAACCAAGCCATTTTTCTTTTTGGTGGAGGAGTACTAAAGAAGCGAGTGCTGTTACGAGTGTTGATGAAGGAAGACGGTTTCTTGGTGGGGGGTCGGTAGAGAAATGAGGTTGATGAGGGAGAGGGACGCGAGAGAGCGGGGCGGAGAAGAGGGGTAAAATAGGAGCGGAGGGGCGAGGCGAGAGCAGCCATTAATTTCTTTTCTTAGGTGCGTGTGCTGTTGGGGGAGGGGTTTGCGGTGCGGTACGCTCGCTGATGGGGTGTGTGTGGGAAGGGTCGAGAGAAGAAACACAAGGAAACGATACAAACCGGGCTATGTATTAATTTTTGGTGTCTCTCTAAGTATTTCCCTTCTTCTACCCTATTTCTTCGATCTTAGATGGGGGAAGGACTGCTTCATTGCTGGATATGGTATAGCCGAGCCCACTCCTTCGAAACCCACACCCCCTTGCTATGTATCTTCTTACCGGCACTCCAGAAACATGGTTCCTACAAAAGATAGGTTGGGGCCAGAGGCTGAAAATTGAGCCGTGATACAGTGGACAAGATCCTGTCGTCACCGCCGACTCACAAGTTCAATAATAGCTCTACAGGGCCCGCATTCTCAGACAGTAAATTGGCTCTTTTCTCCAAAAATTCTTGTCACTTGTGCGGGCAAACGAGGGGGAACCCCCCTCGGCCCTTTTTGCGAGGCTTTCGAGATATCTAGGATGATCATACATCCAGTACTTTATCATTCCAAACCGTCGTGGGATTTCACCCCTGGGCCTGCACTAACCCGCCATATCAACACTGCCGCACAAGTACTATTTAGCTATAGTATAGGACACTCGCACAGTTCTTGGTATCATACCCAGATATATGCGGTCAATCCCGAACCCTCGACCGCACCAGAGGATTACTGTTCATGGCCTGCTAGCATCAAGCCAATATTGTCAAGGCCATTAGTGACAAGCAACCGCACCAGAACCCTCTGGTATGTAGACCGGAAAACCAGTAAACCTCCCGAGCCATCACACTATCCGAGCGCACTTGAATAGCCCGCCGCACCCCTTCGTCCAAATATTTCCACCATACATACCGTGCCCGTACTGTCCGTGCTGTGGAGTAGTTAAACACCTATGCGAAAACTCCGACTCCTTCTCCTCGGGCATCGGCTTAACCTCAATAGAAACGGCGGGGCGCAAGCAAGATACATATTGTGGGGCCCAAATCCCTGAGCCTTCTCAGCTCATTGCCGTCCGCCGATCCACACACGCCCTAACGGTGCAGATGAGGCAGGATATAGCCAGGTACCGGTAACTGGAGCATTGTACTCAAATATGGTATCTCAATGGCCTCTCCCAGAGCATGACACCCGTATGGCCACGCCCTGCGAGAAATCACATTCTCGATTGGCATTCTGGGCCCATACCCAGGCAGTGGCGATCTCGTCACGGGTATTGCTAAGCTTGGAAAGTTTGCCCGGCCGTGTTGTCAACTGGCCCTGCTATTGGAGGTCTGAAAGTCGCGTTGAGAACTATTCCCACCGCTGCCATGTCCTTACCACCTCCGCTTATGTGCACCCATGTAAAAAGCTACTGTTGGACGCAAGTGAACGACGTCCTGGTCCCTTCCAACATCGGCTAGAGCTTCTGGGTTTACGGGCTGCAGTCGTGATAGAAACTTGGAAAAAGCGGCCAAGGCTGTAGTCTACCTCATCCACTCACGACGCAGAACAAGCTTGTCAGGGAGCTCTTCATACCGGTATTGGGTGAGATATGCTATTATCTAGCTTCACCCCTCTCATCGTGCAACTGCTATCACGCGTTCAGGTCCGAGGGGGATGTCCAAGAATAATTTTAAATGGACCCCACCAGATGCTTGCGGTCTCTTCCAAGGGCACAGGAGCTTTTATTGATTTAGAACGTAATAAAAAATGATTTGCCTAGGATGCCTAGCGTGTTACACAGCTGCCGTTCTGACAAGTCCCACTTGTAGGTAAATCACATCATGATGAGACATACTGTACACGTACAAACAACACGGTACTGTAAGTTAGGAGAGCAGAAGGCTCCCCCCTGACTACCGTAGTGTACGGTACTCGAGCACAGTACGGTACTGTGCTAGTACTGGTATCGTGCCCGAGCAGCGGATGCCGTGTTTTGTAGAGGAGTTTTACCTCCGTTATACCTTACAAAGTAAGTCATTTTTACGCCATCTCCCTGTTTGGAAGCGACAAGGCGCAGTATTTCCTTCAGCACTGAGACTGGTGGAGCGCTCATCCAAGCACTCATGACTTTTGTGTAACCCCGACGTGATGCAGAGCTCTTGAAGGTTACCGCAAATTTCACACTACCAGCCGCCGTACACAGTCGATCTAAGGTCGTAGATTGCTCAACAAATGCTATGAAACCCAAAAAGTAACCAAAAATAATAATAAAAGTAACTCTCCTGCTGAGTTCTCAGGATTTATATCAAAGGCCGGTAATCCCCAAAGCTGAACTCCAAAGAAGGCAGGGCGAGAGCAACCGAATATTATCACGATGATTAAAGATATCATGATATCCATTTCGGCAAGGCCCTTTCTGGTCCAGAGCCCAACATACTGGGGCATATACTGCCTAACGGACCACCTCTTATGCCTCTATCATACCAAGAAATGGACACACAATATAGGTAGATACATCGTGACATCCTTTGGCTGTTCTCCAAGGGAATGATTTCTATGCAAGGGTAGTGGCTTGGCAAGGCCTCAACAACATGACCCAGGAACACTTGGCGCGTTTAAGATTGTCGCCTCCTTCCTCCCCCCTTCCTTTCCTCCCTTCTTCACACTGCAACTCACTTTCTCTGCCTACACAATTCAATTACCTCCCCCAATTCCTTCCTTAACAACCAATCAAACTAATTAACCGGAAATGTCTGATATCACCTCTCCCTCCGGCCCGGCTCCCGAGAACCCTACCGATAAGGGTAAGGGAAAGGCCGTTGCTCACGAAGAAGAAGAAATAGATTCATCCGATGAGGAAATGGGTCAAACTGTTCGTCTCCCCTCTATTAATTGTGCTATCAATTGCTCGCAAAGACACTAACATTTCTCAATTGTAATCAGGAGGCCGAAGAAGGTATCGCACGATCTCATTCATTCGCATCCCAGCCCCCTTCATGCCTAAGCTAGCTAAAAACAATTATATAGAGCCCGATGTCGAGGATGACGACCTCGCAGCTCTTGATACCGACAACATCATTGCGGGCGCCCGTACTCGTGGCAGGAAGATCGACTTCGCCAAGGCTGCTGCTGAGGAGCCCGCCGACGAGGAGGATGACGACGAGGACGACGAGTACGCTCCTGCTGAAGAGACCGCCGAGCGCGGCCCCGGCAATGATGGAATGGATCTCGACCCATAAGCCAGACAAATCCCCCAATGCGCGATGGAGGGGAGGTTTTCTATATCAAGTAATTTACAAGGAGTGATAAATTAGGTTGGGGAGGGCACTCGTCTTTTACTAGCTTAGCCTTGTTGTTGCTCATTATCAAAATCTCTCTTCTACCCAATTGATGGTTTATTCCCGACACTAAGTTGGATTCGCGTGCTCTTCCTTGTTCTGGTGAATGGAGCAATATTTATACTGTTTTGTCGTGCGGTTTAATAGTGACGAGGTTATGTCCTTATAGTGTGCGATAGTCAATTCCCAAGGGCTTTTTTGTTTTGAGGTTATCGGTGGGCGAAAGGAGGTCTTCCAGGAGATTGTAGCCAAGTACGATCACTTGCACGCACTCACTATACGAACGACATTGCACCATTTGAGTTTGATCGCAATCCATAGAGAAAAGGTGACCCGGTCCCAGCCTTGCCGATCTGTATCATCGGTTGCTTATCAGTGCACCATGCGCCTTGAAGGTCGCTTCAGTCGAGCATCAATCGCATTGCTCTAGAAGAACACGTACAAACCTTTACCCCACTGAAACTTGATCCCATTACATCTCTCAGTGCCAGATCAATGTGTATCTTCTTCCACTCACCCGACACTAGGCTGCCATTAACAACGTGGCCATTTGGTAGCTATTCCGGCGGACCATTACCCATAAAATAACACCGAGCGGCATAGCATACATGCGGTCAATTCGCACATTCCGTCTACTATTATTACTACCACTCAGGCACAGTCTACCCACGAGAAGTCATACACATCACGGCGGCAGTTCACAACACGACAACCGGAGGGATTAATATTAGAACTGACGAACGCCCCACACGAGTAGTGTATTGGACATTGTTATCCTTAGATTTCTATTACTATTGGGAACCTAGCGAGGAGTGAAACAGCAAGTTCACTAACTCTCAGAGGAGCCCGTGGGGGGGGGGGTCTTGTTATAATATGAAAAATTTCCAATTCAAGCACCGGGTGCTTTGTTACGATGTTACGAGAGTGTATGGTGATGGCTCCGGGGACTGGCTTGTAAAGTCCTATCACGAGATAGGACCTTGTTGATCCTTCCTCGGGATGGGTGAGCATCCTATTGCTGTATAGGGGAAGTGTATGTTCCTTTGTTTGTTTGTGTCCTGGATTCATGATGATTGTGAGTATTTTGTCCTCCAGTATACAAAAAAAAACTAGCCGGTGGAGGGGTGGGGTTGGCCACTGGGCGGTGACCGGGACAATGGAATCCATGGCCCAGAGGAGATCGTTGAGCTCTTTCTCAAGTGGCGGTACTAACTCCCTATTCAACTCGAGCCCGATGTTCTGAAGGCAGTTGAAGAGGCGGAGTGGTGTGGTGCTCGTACCATACTATTATGTGTCGTGATTATATTGAAAATCTGGAAGGTATGATAGTGCTCACGGGTATCTTGAGGTGGATCTGATGGATGGAAATATAGGTGCGGCAATGTCATTCCTAACCCCTCCACTTTGGGGTAAAGAGAAATATATGTTGATAATGTTGTCTGGTGCGAATTATGTAATCGCATGACTCAAACCTTCTCCACCGCAACCGGCTATAGATCTTCTCATAGTTATAGGGATTTGGGAAGCTGCTGTTCTGGGCAACTATGATACTGGTAGACAATCATACCTTCCATTGAGTGCTCGCGTCCACCCCGCACCATGCCCTCCCTACACCGCCGTACCGCGGGCAGCTCTTCGTACGATGGCGCAAACCCCTAGTCCCATTCCTGATCACAAACCGCTCCCCCGCCCCTAGGCTCCAGCACCACACTCAGCCATGGGCAAAGCAACTTTCTGAGCCTCCGCCATATACTCAAGTATCCCACAAGCCTACCGATTGTTAGGCCCGATTGTTAGGCTCGTTCGCCACCACTTCTTCCTCCTCCTCACTCCCCCCCAGACTAGACCCTGTTCTCGAAATGGGCGCCTAGGGTACCGTATCAGCCATCGCTTCCACTCTACCTTAGCGTATCACACTTATGATACCATATTTTAATCCGTAATCAGGAATACCGATAAGCGAGCAATCACGGGTTCCCCGGACACAAAATTATTACCAGGATTCTGCGGGGGGATGTCACAGGATACCCCTGAGCCGTAACACGGGGCCATACAGCATCTTAACTCTGGGAGAAGGATTCGTGAACCGAGTGATATCTTATGATTTCTTCCAGGGTCGAGATCAATGGTGTCAAAAGACATCGTTATCTACTTAGGGTCTGTTTGATTGCGATGGATCCGTTCCGCTCACCCATGCAAATGACAATTTCCTTCCTTTTCGAGGAGGCTGTTGCTAAAGGGCCGTTTGCCACAACCGCTATCAACCTTTCCGTTTCAATGGTTGACCGTTAGCAACAAACTTTTCCACCGGTCAAACCATTTCACAACGGAATGGTTGCCGCTTCTTCCTTTTTTACCAAACAGGCCCTTACCCGAGAATGGTTTGATCGACGATAGGGAAACGGAGGGTTCGATTCCCCATCCCCGGATGCAACAGGCCGGCCATCCGCGTCACTTCAGTACCGGTACCCGAAACGTGACTGCCATAAACAAAAAAAAAAACGACACAATCACAACCATCACTCGCATTCCGCGCAGTGCACCCTTCTCCGCCCACACACACTCACTGGCATCCTAACCGGGGGCCGAATGCGGCGCACATGACACCAAACAACTACCGCAAGAGCCCGTAAGATTGCGCAACAAGAACAAACAACAACAACAATGATAATATAGCGGATAACAACGAGCAAACAAAAACAAACAAACAAAACAAACGGAAAAAAACACCAAATAAATGCACGATGCGCAAGGTCGAGGACGTGCATGAATGGTTTTTTCATATGATAGATACTAGTATATCGCATGACCTGTGGCTTGGATGCACCAGTGCTCGTACTCATATAGTATGTTACCGTATGTGGCTGCGAGGGTGGGAGGGGGGGGGGGCGTGTTCTTGTGCGTCATATGGTATCTTAGATGAATGAGTGTGGTGCTGCAAGTTAAGCGGATTTTTGCACTGAACGATAACAGTTCCCTACCGGTAATTCTCCGAGGTTTGAAAAAAAAAAAAAAAAAATTCAGATTGACTATGGTACCGTATGTCCGCATATGTTGCCAAAAGGCACCTACCTTGCCAAGAACCTGCGAATACACGCAGTACTGTACAAGTACCGGTATTGTACCTTTTTTATTATTGAAGGGAAGAAGGAACGCCTCCACGAGTTTCTCTTTATTTTTATGAAGAGGTTTTGGATGAGTGGGTTGTGAGGGATTTTGCCCTCCAGAGCTGCAAAATATTATGATAATATTATAATATCGACTTTGAATTGGTGGATGGTTCCCTGGTTTTTACAATTTTGATTTATATATATATATTTAGGGGTATCATACGCTATCGTTTTTGAAGCATGATACTGCGCGGTAGGGACTGAACTTGCCAATGCATACCTCAGTCACTGATGCTATCATACGGTATTTGCTCATCACCGAATGCAAGTTCTATGCGGACCCGGTGGTTTTTTTTCTTTTTTCTCTCTTTTTCTTTCTGCAAACCTCTGAGAATTACCCGTATCATGGGAGATGGTCACCCTTCACCTTGGCTACGATACCTCACCTGGCCGTTTTTGCCCTGTGCCGGTATAGTACACCATCTGCAATATGGTACGGTGCCTATCTCATCAATGCGAGTAATTTTGCTGACTCCGAAACACCGATGCAGCCGTGGAATAACGGGTATGATATAATGCGCCTATTCAAGCACGATACAGGTATTATATCTGCGAGTCGGTCCCGACATAACAGATTGGAGTACGGGTATACCAGTGCGATACAGTCACGGTGTAATACCGGTAATAGATGAATATTCCAGGTAATCTCCCCATATACGAGCACAAGTACAACATGATGGAAGGCTCATCGGCATCGTATTCGAGTATGATACAAGTAGCAACAAAGAACAAGGAAGGTAGGGGAGGAAAAAGGGGGGAGAGGATGAATGGATCGGGGTTTATTCCTGCCTGTTATAATAGCTCGTCTGTGTCCACTGCCTCCAGTTCTCTTGGACAATTGGGGGGATTCGACAGGGAAATATTTCACACTCTCCGCTACCGCACTTGTACCGCGTTTACATGTACTCGAGTACTATGACCTGTATGGATCCACCCATGACCCCGGAACTTCCTGTGCGATGCATGCGCAGAGGGTTATTTTTTAATCTCGAGATTCTGTAAGGAGGTGGGATTTTCCCAATTGGCGGGTGTTTGACTGGATGCCGAGGCATGGTACTCTACTTGTGATAAGGAAGAGAATACCGATATGATGGACGCGGGTGAAAATGAAAGACCACCCCTCTTTCCTACCGTGCTCTTCGTAATACCGGTAACTGTACTGGCAGCCCCGGCGGAACCAAGCAGAACTCCACTACCGGTACAATACGAGTAGTCTACTGTTGGCTTTTTTTTTATTCAACCAAATCCTGAGAAGGACACACCGCCAAGCCCTGTTTTTCATCATCACTTTCCGGTCCTTCTCTCTCTTCATTTCTTTTTCTCACCCTTTCACCCTTTTTCCAGCAAAGCACTTTCACCCCCGCCCCCCCCGCAAACCTAATCAAGACAAAAGCTTAATATTTCACTACCAATGAACAGGAGCGAGCGAGCATGGGGAGCGACAACGAGAGCGAAAACGAAGCTAGAAGCTAACCGTTCTGGGGTTATTTCTAAGTATATCTGCCGAAAGCTTCCTCTGACCTCCCCCATCGTGAAGAAGAAGAATGAAGTAGGTACAGGTTACGATACCGCCCGTACGGTATCTTCCTGCGTGATACAAGTACTCACTTCACCAAGACCACCCCGCCACTACCGGTACTTGTATTGTGAAAGCATCTCCACAAAGTCCAGGAGCTCTTCTCTTTTTTTCTTTTCTTTCCACTGAGGAGGGGAAGGGGGGGGTGCCAAATAATATAAATTTTTCAGGGGTGGAAAAGAAGCATCCACAATCCCCGGCTACGGGTACCACAGTTGTGCTACGCTAAAACAGTGCGGTTACTGCACCGGTACCGATGCTCGAGCACTGTACCTCTGACCAGGCCAGCCAGCCCAGACCAGACCGGACCCATGGACTCGGAGCGGGGGGATTGAACAGGTGTGCGCTCGTCCAACTGTCACACCAAATAAGGGATTAAGCCGGTGTAGACACTTTCTTAGGCGCCGATGGATTTGGGTTGCGAGGCGTCCGGGCGTGCGGGTGGATTGTTATGGAGTGCGTGCTCGTAGCAGGTAGCAATGAGAGGGTGATTTTGGCCCGAGTTGAAGA